AATGGTCATTCCTAGACTTTGCAGTCGATATTTCGAATGTCTTTCTCTCTCTCGAGCATCGTTTGCAATTGTAATGCACAGCGCCGAAGAACACAAATATCAACTTCTAGTACAAGAAAACAATGAAATGAAAAAACCGAGACAAATTTGTAATTTGAAAAACCTTGTATTCTGCATATATTATACACTTTAGCTTTTTTTTTTATCTTTTCTCAAATAATCATGTATTTCGATATATTTGACAACGCGAGAGGAAGTTTACGCGAGATCACACATGTCGTTTTTCTAATTTGTGACGTGTAAGTATATAAATTGCGGTAAAATGATTACGCAAATGAGAACCAAAATGCTCTTTATGCAGAAGCGGACGATTGAGAGGTGAGAGAAGGGAGAAGAAGAGTGTATCATCGATTCACGCTTGTCTCACGGCTTGGCATACAAGAGAGCACGGGATGCGTCGCGGCATGCGCGCATAAAGGCAGGCGTGACCGCGAGTGAACGTGGACCAATCCCGATTCAGTTCTCCTCTATTTTTTCTTGCTTTCATTCAGGGACGCCCCTCTTCGATACCCTCTCCTTCGCTGCGACGCGTCGCAGCGACCAGGCAACCACCGGGCATTCGATTCCCTCCCGTTTTACAGCCGCCGCGTGCCCCCCAACCATGATTCCCCACTTCCTTTCGATCTGGCTTTGCCGCGACTGTGCAGAACAATCCTTTCCGCGCGCATTCCTCGTCGAAGCCCATTGAACTGCGTGAGGCAGCATCTCGGAAAAGTACGCATGCTCACAAACACGATGAGAGAAATATCCGGAGGGTTCAGAGCTCGTCTCGTCGTTCGTGGACGAGTGCGTGAATGACACGATTTTTATAACATGCTAGTACATGCTTAATAAATAGTAACAAATCATTACATGGCTCTCTATCTCTATAGTATTAAATTATATCAATGAGAGAAATAGTACGAAATTATAAGTAATATTCTGTTCTCATTTTTGAAAAAGAAATTCGTAAGAAACGGCAAAACAATACATACACACACAGTCGAACCTTCATAAAAATAACCTTTATTTTTGTCAACTTCTGTAAATGTTATCTCGTAACACCTCTCTCGATACATTAATATCTCCTATCGAACTCACACACATTCCATTATACGATACTCTCATTTGCCATGCACGTGTGAAAATAATCTCGTAAGACTCGTTGCCACAAGTGGAAATAAAAGCGAAAATTACTTTAATGAAAAATGTTAGTTTCAAAATGTTATTTTTTTATTTTTATTTTTTTATAGATATTCGACTGTATCCCTTTAGTTGACACAATACGAGCAACCTATTGCACATGTTTAACACGTTGACTGCCACGCTACTTTGTAAGAAAATCTCCGTCAGGTCACGCGCGATGCTATACTATTTATGATATTTTACAAGAATTGGTTATTGAAGAAGAAGGAAACATTCCATTGAAATAATTTTTTTTAATAAACGTTTATGACAATTCAATTGTCTCATATTTTGTGAAATAACTTTCGAAATACCTACCAATCTACCTTGTAAGCACTCAAATAAGCGTCACCCGAGTACGGGTGATGCGGCCTAATCAGGATTTTTGACGTCACCCGAATATGGGTGACACGGCGGTCAACGTGTTAAGCATAATTTTTTTAATACTTCGATAATTATGCACTTCACCAATCATTTTGAGATATGCTGAGAAAATATGTTGTATAATACTTATTTTCTAAAAGCCTATGTACAAAAGTTGAACGAAATTCGATCATCATTTTCACTCACGACTTACACGCGCAAACGCAGATATGTAAATAATTCACGACTTAAGTGACGATCGTACATTAAATATTTAGAAATATTAAACGTATACAGTCAAAGTCTCTGATACGATAAGGTAAAAGTTTAAAAATGCGAAAGCGTTAACTATAGTCATTTGATGAATAATTGTCGAAAAGTTGTTAAATATGGACATTACTTTCTCGCTAATGATAATGAACGAAAACGCGCGCGCGCGAGCGTGTGTGTCGAATTATTTATAAAAAATAAAATAATTCACCGTCATCTTCTTGACATAAACGTGGCGTAATTACTTTTGGATAATTACATGTATTTAGAGATCACTTTCGTGTTTCGTTTATGTGAATTAGATTCTCGGTTTTTATAGGAAGCTATTGTTTAATTGACTTGTAAAGAGAGAAGAGAGAGAAGGCACAAGCGATAATCCAGACCGAGTTCTTTTAGCTGGACTTTTCGCTCAAACCGTTTTTTTTTATATTGGAATGTTGATCGGATTGAACCAAAAAGTTTAATTAATCAATATCCACACGCTGCAGCACAGAGAATCTACCTTATTCTCGAAACCGTGTAACTACTAGCGACTTAAAGAAAGAACACGAAATGTAGAACATGAAATGCAGAACCTGATTAACTTTTGAACGCTCGTTAATACGAGGAAGTCACGATGGGAAAATCATAGTAAACAGATTCGTGTTCTTAAGTTTTCAAACAAATTGCCGCTATTAATACCGATTGCAAGCGATTATTCGCTCCATGCACGAAACACTTAAATCGCAAATTCCTCTTAAAATACTAAAATATCGGATGTCTTTTATTCTCGGACTTTTTTTTCAAAATTTTTGTTCACGCAGACTCAAACTTGATGAAAAACAAATACTTAACAAAATATATGTATTTTTTTATTGATCTTTTTTTAATAAGTTTATTTCGTTCTCGATACAAGTATTTGCTTCAACACGTGGTTGTTGCGAGATGACGTCACAAAACACATTGCGACTGAGTTGATTTTTCAGCTTCTCGTAACAACCGCACATTGCAGCGTACTTCTATCAAGAACGAGATAAATTTAATTAAAATATTGCTGAATACTTATAAAAATCCTATCTCTCAATTTTCATCTTGATTTAACAAACCCACAGAATACTACGGAGTATCTCAGTCAAGGTTGCACATGCATACTCTATAGTCTGGACGTCAAAAATTGATCGAACGTGTGAGAAATGCTTTGAAAATCGATAAATCGCGTAACTTCTTTCGCGCGCCGAGTCGAGTCGAAGAGAACGGAAGAAAACACGTTTTGATAAAAATAGGTCAAACATTTCTTTGAGAACGTTAAAAACGACAGCAACTATTCTTCAATTTCCCGAAATTTTTGTCACAATAGTTCTATAATGCAATTTTCGAGTGTTTTCTGTGTGTTCGTAACTGCTCCTCTACCTGATAAGCGTCTAAATAGCCAAAAATAGCCAAGTGTAAAAGTATATAATAAAGTGGAAACAAAGTCGGAGAACGACGTTGTTTATTCTAGAGATTCATTCATCTTCACGCGGACTCTCGCGCTGAGTAAGTATGTATTCGTCTCGGCCACGGAAGGTCATCACGGAAATCGGTGATAGAAGATCGGAGAAGAAGTTTATGCATGAAGCCGTCATTTTTTTTTTTTTTTTTTAAACAAGGCCGGAGTTCTTGGCGATCTAAGACGGAATATTTCTCAATAATATTGTTAACTTTTTTGAATTTGTTACGATATCATAATTTAACAACTGAAATTGATCCTTTTAGGGTATATGAAGCGTGAAGATGACAGGAGTTTCTGATGTAAGACGTATATGATTTAAAAAAAAACATACGCGTGCAATATGTGTACGAGGAAAAATAGCTACACTCTTAAATATATACTCTTGATATATGCTTGATATTTCACGCCAGCTGTTTTTTAAATACGTACATACATTGTTATTACATGTAAACAAACGCTGGATCCGCACAAGGACGCAAAAAATCGACATTATAAAAAATAGATCTGATGTAAAAGAGAAAAAACATTCCACGAGTGAGCGCGCGTTGTTAGAATGACATTGTTTACAAACTATGTACAGTCTTATTGACATTCGATTGAATTGTTATTGCTTGTTTATGTCGACGCATCGCGACGCGGACATCGCCGAATTCTCACTCTGTTGATAGAAACGAACTTGTTTTCAAAGTTTATTTCGAAACTCGTGTACATATATATATATATATATTATATATAGACACAAAAATTTGTGGTAAATGTTGACAACAAGAAAAATTTGCGATACGGAACATCTACATTTGTGCAAAATAGCTCATCACACCATTAACAAGTACAGATAGTATCGAAATTAAGCGGAAGGTAAACTGTGAATGAGAGAGAGAGAGAGAGAGAGAGAGAGAGAGAGATCATTTTTTCGACTGTTTCAATTCGCAACCTCCTACACGTTTTTCTGTGTATGTGCTTGTACGAACACGCGATTTCATTTTGCGTGAAAAACAAACCCGTTCAAAAACTTGTACTTATCTCGAATTATGAATAGAAGAAGGGTTTTTTTTTATCATGCATTTGTAATTGGAATTTTATATATCTCTCTAAATAGAAATTTGTTCTGACAGATCTTGAAAAACGGTAAAACTTCATGTATAGCAGATAGATAAATGAATGTGGATGCAAGAGTATAAAAACTAAATCAGAAGAAAAACGGAGAGAAAGAAGTTGTTATATACACATTCCATCGATTTCCTAGAAACGTATCACACAAAATCGTGCGTTTTTTTTTTTCAAGTGTTGTTTTCGCATAAAATCACTCAAAAGGCGAATGGAAGGAGTAATGACTCGCTGAAGAAGCGTTGCTAGCAAACTTTGCTAATTGCACAGAACGCTCATTCTAAATAAAAAAACATAACGTAAAAAAACCAACTCGAGTGAGACACGAAAGAAGTGTCATTTAGAAGTTTCCGTTTTTTATATCCATAATATTAAGAAACGTAAGAAACTGCTGGTCAAGGCCAATTAAATTTTACTAGAGAGATCAACGATGTATCAAAATCTCACGATAAAAGACTCAAGCTCCAGCTTTTATTTCACTTTTAAAAGAAACGCACGATTGAAAAATGTGAGAAAGAGAGAGAGAGAGAGAGAGAAAAAGAGAAATATTATTTTTTGAACTTACAAGATCTTCCGGCGAGGGAAGATGTCCATGTCCATTAGATTCGTGCCCATTAGTCGCGGTAACTGCACTTGTGGAAGATCCACTTGGTGCCCCGTTATTAGTATTAGAAGCAGATCCGTTCGGCACTCCACCGCCAGTGTTCTCCAATTCAGTATCGTCGCTCGAATCCATCACGTAGGATGGTTTTGGATCACTCTTGACCCTAATCTTGGCTGTTTTTGCGAAACACAAACGAAGTTTACGAAAAATGCGGAAGAGCGCGCAACGCTTCCCAAAGGAGAAAGAGAGAGAGAGAGAAAGAGAGTTTAAGCGTGAAGGCAGCTACAAGTTGCGTCGACTTTGTGTGTGTGTGTATGTGTGTGTGAGCGCGCGTGTGTGCGCGCGCGCACGGCAAGACACTATGACATCCAAGCCAGCAGGTTGTCTCGCTTATAATGGATAATTACGAGGTGTAGGAGTGATCACCGAGAGTCTGTAGTAAAGACAAGCGTCCGTTGTCGCGACCGTCGGTAAAGTTTTTGGAAAACACTTCGCGGCCGGAAAAAAACTATACATCAATGTTATCACTGCGAACGATCACTTTTCGATTGATATAAAAATCCGATAGTTTTTTCGCGTTCAAACTTCCTCTCTTCTTGGACGGAGTCTTTTCTCCGAATGTCTACTCACGAAAAAACTTTTCACCTTCTATGAAATGGCGGGAGATGAAATGAGAAAACATGAAATACAGAGGATAAAAGGAAAACGAGGAAAGGGAGAATCAAAATGCGATTAGTTGGAAATTGGCCGTAGGAGTCATCGATATGAGGTAGAGGAGGGGATAAAAAAAAAGGCAGCAATTAGTAATGGCACGCGGTGCGCGGTTAACAATTCAACTGACCGATATTTCGGTTTACCGATTATTAGTCCGCGCGAACCTTCCATTCGTATTGGATATCCGAGTCACAGGCCCGGAATGATTAACGACACAATACTCATTTCCGGCGTCATCGGAGATAATTCGTCGAGATCGAACTCGCGTGAAAAACGAGACAGACGTGAAATAACCGCACGGTTTCGCTTTCCAGATCCATCTGAAAGCGCTGCCTGAGGAACGCGCGACGATAGGTCTCGCTGCCACTACCACGCTTACCACGACACGAAGGAAGAGGGAGATGTCCCGATGATGCACGAACGAATCCCCCCCGTTTGTTGTGGAGGCGGAGTGAAAAGCCACGCAAGTCACGCCCTAATCCACCTGCGGTGGTAGCTGAAGTTCTTCTTTCTCATTCTTACTCACAGACGTCGCTTTTCCGATTGGCATAACGATAGACATGCAAATAATACTTTGATAGCTGTTTTCGTTGGCCGTGTAACATCGAGATCGACTATAATGCACTTGTCTTTATCTAATCGAATATTCCGCTGATAGAATTCATCTTCTTTATCACTGTGAACAACTGATTATTCAAGCATATCTTTCTAATACATAAAACACGCGCGCATCGATCACGTGACTGCATAGAAAATCCATCAAGTACAACATGTGAGAGTTGCGAGAATTGCAAGGCTCTGTTGTATAATTCATATTGTTTTGGAACCATTTTTATTAATGTCCTTTTTAGTCACTTTAGATTTGTACAAAATATACCGTGTTCTTTGAACAAAACTTTTTTAGAAGTCTATGTTCTATTAACGTGTTCTACTAATCGCGACGACACATGACAGCTTTATGTGAAATAAATAATATTGATGTGCGAATTTTTCGACGTTTTATGAAAATAAATGATAGTTGTGAGTCAAAATAGAAAAAAACGCTATGTTATTAACATAAAACGATTTTAGAAATCTTCGAAATGTGAGAATTTTGAGATTTTACACTTTAAATGTGTATATATTTCAGATTTTGAACGTTTCGGCTTGAATTTTTAATTATAAGCAACAGATAATCAAGTGACTGATCAGAAAATCTATGTACGAACAGAAAAAAGCTTGAAAATTGAAAAAATTTCAAGTAATATTGCAACAAATTCGCGCGAAACGTTATAAAGAATACCATTTTTCGTGCATTAAAATTGTCCGCGAAGGTTGAAAACAGCATAGCTGTTATTCTGTGTGGTTAATCATTGGTAAACAATTTTCTATGTTTACATTCGGTTGCACGCACGTCATTTCCGTTTGACAGCGGTGTCGGACAATCACAATGAATCTCAGAAATAACGCCTAACGTTCGCATCCTTCTTTTCCGTTCGAAATGCAATTACAGCACGAAATTACACGTGATTGAAGGTTTGGAGGGTTTGTTGTTAGAATACGGCATTTCAGAATTATTTACACGCGGTTTCACACACGTTTTCTATGTATTTTCTGCACTGTGTGCACTATGTATTTTCTGCACTGTGATGCTAGAAATTCTCCCACGAAAAGACTTTCTTTAACTATAACAGTTCTTTAGGTTAACTAAATCAAGTGACATGTTTTTTTCCTGACTTAAAATAACTTCGGGATTTAAGCCACGCCCGGTTTTATGTCGCATAGATTAGATATAGAAAAAATAAGGATACATCAGATAGGTAAAGAAAAAGTGTGGGAAAATTTTCACGCTTCGCGGCAGAGATTCGTGAGAATTTGGATTTCATCGTTTTCCATGCGCTTATTGGGTTACATATTAATTAATCACTCAACTAACTTACGAATTTTGCAAAATAGTACATGATCTTTCGATTCAGATTAATTCAATCTACATTCAATCTACTTCCAGACTTCTTGTCAAAATGTTTCAAACGCCCTGTATATAAATTCTCGGATAGTTTGCACACATTGACGCGGATAACTGAGAATTAATCGTTCATCAAATGCGAATTTATGTTCATCAATATTTGTACTTTTATGTGCTAATGTCCTGCAAACGTGTAATATAATCAGGCCTCATAATTACACGAAACGAACGAGAGTTCGCGGCCAATATTCAAAGAAAGGATGTTTGAGAAGCCGCGCCTCAAAATGTTCTTTTATTTCTTGGCACCTTCGATTGACAATTCTCAGGCTAAAACCGCGAGTGTGCGCGTGAGACGCGAGGCTGGACGCTATTTGTTCTATCTTCTCTCCTCGACGAGAATTGTTTCATCACCTTCTTTCTTGTCGCGGAAAGATCTTCTCTGTTTCTTCGTTTCTCTTTCTCTCTCTTCTCGGTGTGCCACGTATAGTTAGAGAATACGTGTACCTTGAATGTGTGTATATTGCGGCCTCTTAAGCTTTTATAGCTCGTCTGGATGGCGCGCATACCACCGCCATCTTGTTCCGACGCGATTAAATATTGATGTAAGAACCGATATCCAAGCCTCAAGTGGTTTTCTCGATGGTTCGTGGAATCGCTTGGCGCGAGAATCTAGGGCGGTAATTTCTAATTGTAAGGAAATTTTATAGTGCCGCAGCGCGGCTCGCCTCCCGACAAGCAACATAAAATAACCAATAAACAACACAGAACCGTCGCGTATCAGTCGCAATCTATAGCTTAGACCGGAGCTATGGAGATCACTATAATAAAGTTCGATCGTTTCTAAAGCCGATTATCGACAACGCGACCCTCCGTTTTTACGCGCACTTTATACGCTCGCCAACTTTTTTCTGCGGTGTGAAAATCCGCACGGAGTGACGCGGCAATTATTGGATCAACCGTTATATGTATACACGCAGCATTTATAAATAAAACGCTAAAAACAACGTACTGAAAACCGTTCGCGTTCGTAGCGAAACAACGTCAAAACGCAATCCCTAACGGCAATTTGTTCCTTGCCGATGCGTATCCATTATTGTGCAAATTACACGAGACAGATTGCGCAAACGCCTAACAATGGAGAATCACGCGCGAGTCCGTCGTCACCACGGGGTGTTAAACCACCCCATCGTTAGTCTGCCGAATCAACCGGAAATTCCAGCTTTCGTAGCTTCCGTATTTTATTCAGCAGACTATATGGAGAGATGTGAGACGCAACAGAAAAGAGAAGAACCGAGTTATCTTTGAATCAACCAAGGTAAGAGAGATAATGCTAAAAAAAAAGGTGTCTAGCAGTCTCTCGCTGAGCCAATTGTCATGAAAATATTCGTTTTTATCAGGAGAAAAAGAGAAAGAAAGGAAACAAAGCAACAGCTCTGTGGTCACTGCCGTATTCCTGTTTTCGAATAATTAGAGATTATAGCGGTTGTTAAGATTCCACGAAGACAGTGAGACGACACCTGGTGCCAATGCATACAAATCTCTCAAGAGGTATCTACATTTATTCTTTCATTGAGAATTAAATTATTTAAAAGAAAGCATTATGAATAATCATGCGTATTTAAGTCTAAGTATTATATATATTTTATTGTAGATGTACTTTAGTATTTCTATATTAGAATTTTAACATTCTGATAAATATAAAGATTATCTTTGTCTGATATTTGATGCTTTTGCGGTGTGTTGTATTAAGATTCATCAGAAAATCCGTCCTATGATACAAAGGTAATCTTTAATGAGAACTAATGCGGTAAAATATCTTCGAAAAAGTTAAAAGATTATCTTTGTAGCATTGGATTTTCTGAATATGAGATAATCAAAATAAAGGCGCAAGAAAAAAACTATCGTGTATGTCTTATCGTGTAGATAAGTATCAGAAACCTCAATCAAACGAAATTGGTAACTTTATGACAAGTGACAAAGTGATATGCAACAGGTAGAGATTACTTCGACGATTATATAATGTGTTTTTTTTTTAAACCTCAATAATTGATCTGTTTAATGCTAAAGTCGCTCTGCACACATCTTTTGAGGGTAAATGTTTTCTAGCTGCAATGCGATAGTTCGCGCATTTATAGTCGGAAAATGATTATTTGAACTTGAAAAAAAAAAAAAAAAAGAAATTAACGGAGGCGAGGGCAGAAGATGGCTGAGAAAATAACGAGACGGGGAAAGATTGCTACGCGAGGAGATCGCTTTCGAGATCATTAATTATCCTAGAAAGTGCGAGAACGAATGTGCAAGAGGGTAAGTGGGGAAAGACTGAGAGAAGAAGGGAGAAGTGCGAGAGTGAGCGAGAAGTATGTATATAAGAGAGAGTGAAGAAGGTTGGAGAAATAAGAGAGAGAAGGAGGTAAATGTCGCCATTGCAAACCGAAATTACCGTCGAAGATTAATGATCTCTTTGCTTTATTACAGAAATTTATAGTTCGATTTCCTCGAAATTTCTCAAAGTTGATCTCGCAATGTGAGAGCAATAATATCACAAAAATAACTACCGAAGTATCTTAAAATGCGCACCAAGATTACAGACACATTAAATATGATACATTTGTTAAAATGTATGATGAACCTAAAGCTACCTGAATAAATATTTTCAAAGAGAAGAATTTTTGAAGAAGAAAGTAGAGATAAACATTTAAAAGAATGTTCATCTCAGATTACTCTTTACCTTTTTAGATAGAAAACTAAGTGCAAGTTGTTGGCAATTTGCCACAAATATTACTCATGTGTTTTCAGCAATGTAACAAAAGGGTGTATCCTCTTTTCAGTATGTACTTGCCAACAACAGTTTTCAAAATGTAATAACAGCAAGTTCTCAACAACTCATCGGCAATAAACTTATATTAGTTTTCTCAACTTATGAATAAAAATAATTGCTCATATATTGCTCACATATTGCTGACTCATATGTTCTAGACATTGGCTACAACAATTGATTGATAATAAAACTCAGCATATTGATACTGAATTGACAAAAACATTTTCGTTGCGTTAAATAAAAACAACACAACAGCAATTGGCGAGCAACTTAATCTATACAATAATTTGCTTTATATTGAGTTTTCACATTTGGCTATCTGGGTAGTTGTATTGATCTTTATTTAGACGATATGAGTTCGTAGTTGATAGATACGTAGTTGATAATATCTTCTAAGTACTACTATTTTTTTAAGAGATTGTCTAGATAAAAAGAAAGTAGTCGCATTCGAATTATAGAAAAAATATTTATTGTGGCGAAAACTGTAGGTTTCCTACCAAAGAATCGTAAAATTTTTTCTTTTCACGGTGAGTATCGATTTC